ACATTACAATCATGATGTTCCCATCTTTTTCATGAGTAAAATTTCAGCGATTAGGGCTTCATATTCCGCCTAGTTGTTCATCGTTTTGAAGTCAAAATATCAAGATTGTTCAATCAATAATTCCATGTCTCTTAAGGACTAATCGATACCCCCTCTTTGATTAGAGGAACCATATGTGTATAATACCCACCATGGACCCTCCTCTCTCGCCATCGGTGTAAGCTTATTCATAAAGACAACTAAACATTGTGATTTAATCGGTCCTCTCAGTTTGTATTTTATGCTAAATTCGGATAGCTCATTTACCATGTGATCATTCTTCAACGAGCTCTAATTTTTTCAGCATCTTGGCCACAAGGTAGTTTGTTCATATTACAATGTGATGACTTAGGAAGTATTGTCGAAGTCTTCTTTTGGTTGTTATTATAGCCAAAACTACCTTTTCAATAATTTGGTATCACGTTTCTATATATTGTAATATTCGACTAACATAATAAAATGGTTTTTGCTCTTGTTGTTTCAAAATAGAGCTGATGACAATTTCTAATTCTACTAAGTATAACATCAAAGGCAGGCCATTAGTCAGCTTGTGGAGGATTGAGGGTGACGATAGAAATATCTTAACTTCCTAGAATATTGACTTATATTGCTCATCTCATTTGAAGCTCTGTGATTTCTTTACCGGATAATGGACTTCATTTTCTCCGCCAACTTTGGTATAAATCGAGAAAGGGTTATGAGTCACTCCATTAATTGTTGTACCTCTTTCAAGTTTTATGGACTTCTCATTTCAATCAATGCTTGACATTTGTCATGATAAGCTTCTGTTCGCTAAGAACTTTTCATCCTCCTTGTTAAACACACATTTTTCTGGATGTAAACACATTATATTTTCGATAGGTTGAGAAAACCTTGGACAGGTCCGCTAGGTGTTGCTGGCGCATGTATGATTTTACCTTCATATCGTCGATGTATACTTCCATGTTCCTCTCGATAAGCTCCTTGAAAAATTTGTCCATCAACCTTTGGTACATTGCACCTGTGTTTTTCAGGCCGAAAGACATCACATAATAGCAATAATTAGTTGAGGATGTCATGAATGATTTTTTTTTTTTGACATCGCATGGGTGGATATGAATCTAGTTATATCTGGAGTATGCGTAAAGGAAGCTAAGTATTTTGTGACTTGCTAAACCGTCCACTAGTCAATCGATGTTGGGAACAGGATATGCATCTTTAGGACAAGTTTTGTTCAAGTTCGTATAATCGGTGCACATGCACCACTTTTCATTTGGTTTTTTAACAAGAACAATGTTGACCAACCATGTTGTGTAATGCACTTCTCTTATGAAACCTGCCTCCAAGAGTTTGTTGACTTTGCTCTCGACTGCTTTTCTTCGGTCCTCACTCATCTTTCTCTTCTTTTGGGCCATCGGATGTGCGTCCTTGTACACCAAAATCCTATGGCATATAACTTGTGGGTCTATGCCCGACATGCCTACAACTATCCACGTGAGTAAGTCCATGTTTGTCTTAGGAAGTTCAAGAGAAGATTTTGCTTGTTTTCCGGAAGGGACAATCTCATATTAGTAATTTGGCCGAGTTGCCCTAACTGTAATATTGTTGTTTCTTGCCTTGGTTAGACTCTGTAGTCTTTGCCTACTGGGGGGTCTAAGTCGATAAGTGTAACTAGATTGCCTCCTTGTACACGTGATTCAATGTTGATTGATAATTTGAAGCTTGCAACATAACATTCTTTAACTACTATTTGATCTACGTGTAGGGTCACTTTTATTCTAGATAAAAATGGGGATTTCAAGGCTAAGTGAGGGGTGAACAATATGGTTCCTAGGGTGTTAAGAGATGGTCTCCCAAGAATTATATTGTATGAACCATGTGCATCTACGATAAGGTATAAGATCTTGATCTTTCGGAGGTTAGAGTCGCCTTCTCTGAATTTTGTGAACAGGTCGATGAAACCCTTAGTGTCCACTCTTTCTCCCGAGAATCCCACTATCTGATCGTCGTAAGGTTGGATTGCTTCCTATGAGAGCTCAAATCATTGTGTTAATCACCAATAATTGTGTTAATTACCCTCTTAGGGGTTGGTCCTTCTACTCATCGTTATGCTCTTTTGACCGACGATTTTGCCCGCTTTCTTTCCTTCCCCATCATCGTTCATCACCAAGAGGATATCTCCCTTCTTGCTTGCCTTGTTTCCTAATAAACTTTCTTAAATGTCTAGTTTTTATAAGATTTTTTTATTTTATCTTTTAATGCAACACACTCATCGGTGGAATGACCATAATTTTGATAATACTGACAATACTTGTTGTATTCAGCATGGGGGATAGACTTCCTCAGTGTGGGCATGAGATTTGTGTTAAGATCTTTTTCTAGCACCTTAACTCTATTGGTGTTTAGGGGTGTGTAATGTGAGAATCTCGGTCTATGAGACTCCCTTGGTCTTACTAGTAGAGGACGTTTTCCTTTTTCCTTACCAATGTTTCTTCCTTCTATGATTGTTTTGACCCATATTCGGTTCTTTAATTCCTTTAGATCCTTCAACTGCATGAACTTGGCAGCTCGACTCCTTAACTCATCTAGGTTTGTCGCGGGCTTTTTACAAAGACTATCCAAAAATGGCCCTGGTTCAAGCTTGTCACCATATGGTGAAAGATCGCCACTAGGTTGAAGATTCGTATGTTTCACGCCACTTTGTCGAATCTTTCCATGAAGACTTGTAATGACTCGCTCTTGTGTTGTTGAATATTGATGAGTGCTATAGATGTAGGATGATGAGACCGATTGGTAGCAAATTGTGTTCCAAATTTGGCCAATAGTGTCTCAAAACAGTCGATACTATTCAGGAGTAATAAGGTGAACCAGCTTAAGGCTCCTTGAGGAAGGTGAAGAATTCTCGACAAAATATCAAGATCAGCCGATCTATCATATCTTTGAATAGTAAGGTTTTTCCAAATTGGGTGCCTTCAAAGTCGTTACCTAGGGGTTACTATTGGCTTCACATGGATGGACCTGAGTGCTCATGGAGTGTTCCATGTTATCTTTGAGTTGGATTGTTTTTGGTGTTCGCCAGGGAGTTTTCTAATTTATTCTCAACTTGTCATATTTCTTGTTCTCACCATGTCTCTCGAGTATTTTTCATCTTATGATGGACTCCAAATATTTTTGTAAGACTAAGCACTTTCTATAAAATCGTAACCTGACTTCATATTCTACTTTAATTTTAATCCGTAGGTAATGCACTCACCTAAACAAAATATTTTTATTTACTATAACCCCCTCCCTTATTTTTTATTATTACTTAGGACCCCCCCTCCCCTTTATATTATATTTTTATTATTTATTATATTTTTGGAACTTTGAATTATTATTAGATTAAGGAAATTATCATTAGCAGGATTCGAACCCAAGTACCTCAAAGTTGGAGGATGATACTCCAACCACTAAGCTATTAGGATATTTTGATAATAACTTACAAATAAATTATATTTATATTTATCCGTGTAAATATATAAATATAAAATATATATAAATATAAAATATATATAAATATAAAATATATTTATATTTTGATATATTTATATTTATATATTTATATATTTATATATTTATATATTTATGTATTTATATATTTATGTATTTATGTATTTATGTATTTATGTATTTATATATTTATATATATTTATATTTATATATTTATATATTTACACGAATAAATATAAGTATAATTTATTTATAAATTATTATTAGAATATCCTAATAGTTTAGTAGTTGGAGTATTAGTTTTCAACTATAATTTACCTACGGATAGTAATTTCGTAGGTTTACCTACGAAATTACCCACGGATGACATTACTTACGGATAGTAATTCCGTAGGTAATTACCTACTACGGAATTACCCATGGATGATATTATCTACGGATAATATTCGTAGGTAATGGATAATTACCCACGGATATAATTCCGTAGGTAATATCCGTAGGTAATGTAAAATTTACTTACGGATTTTTATCCGTAGATAATATTTTGTAGAAAATAGGTTTTTTTTTTTTTTTAGTGAAAAATTAATATAGAAATCGTGTTGATGAACGAAAATTAATATAGAAATCATAGTTGCTATTTATACTACAAAATTTGTGTCTCTTATGCACTTTGAATCTTTAGCCAATCTGCTTTTACTTGCGCAACTACAATATAAGTGTCGTAGCTTGCATGGCCATAATACCACGTGAATGGTTCGTTTACTAAAGTAGATAAATAATTTTATAACTTAATTTCTTTCAATAATAATCAGCACTGCTTCTCTCCAACACAAACCAAACAAGGTGATAAGCTGGACAATCTAGGAAGAAGTGTGGGAATCTGATTCCATGCAACACAAACCAGACAGCTAATTAACAATAATATTGTTATATAAAAGATTCTCAATATACCAAATAAATAAATAGAAAGAGAAGAATCAAACAGTTTTCTTAATTTACCAAATCTTGATGTTTTGTTTTGTAGTACTTATGTGACTTTTGGTTTGATAAGACGTTGCTGTGATTAACTGCTGATATATAGCATTTATAAGTTCAACTAAGGATGCATATGCATTTCTACATATATTTTTTTATAAGGAATATTTTCACGTGCTCTAGTTAACTCACAAATCAAGTCCAATTGTTAATTTTCAACCTAATATATATAATCTATTATGTGTGGTGAGTCATCATGACACAACTTGCTCTTAATATATCTTGATGTGTTATATTTTAGTCAAAGAATAGTTGCTTGATATATAAAATGTATACCAAAGAAAAGTGTAATATAAATCAACACATTTAAATTTTACACACTTCAATTATCTACAAGTTGAGCTAGATGATAAAAATGATAATGATGGCTACCCAGCACTCATACATGGTTCTTACTTTTTGGTTGTAATGATCTTAAGAAAATTGAATAGATTACGCGTAAAGTTTGACTAAATCACAACATATATGGAAGTGTTGAATTTTCTTGGCACATCGTGATCCTTGGTATTAACGTTGGTGGAATGCAGCATGTGCCAGCAGGACAGAACCACTCTTGCTTTTATGGGTGCTAGCATACGACAAATAGTTACATTGAATCTATATTTTTCTTCGTTTTATTTTAAAGAATTTATTAAATTTATAAATGCTAGAATTTGTGACAAAGATGTATGTATTCAGATTCTACACGTATTTTCTTTCTTTATATTTTTATGTTGCTTAAATTGAAATACTAAAAAAAAATCGGTAGGATATTTAATATAATGTTTCTCTATTAATTCTAACAAAATGGAATGAATTTACCATTCTTTTATTACCTTTTATCAAATAACCCTAAACCCTAGACTTATGTACCTTTCCTATTAAGTCTATCATATTTTTCTTTATACATTTTTAAAATTTTTCCCTTAAAAACAATTCTCCATCATATAATAATAAATATATATTACATTATATTTTAAAGTGTTTTAAATTATATAAAACACATTTAGCTTAAATTTAAGAAAAAAAAAGATATTTAAAAAAAACAATTAATTTCGGAGTTCAAGATTTAAGACAAAAGTATTTTTAATAAAAATATTAAAATAACTAAAGTTGATATTTGAAAATTTAGAATCTTTACATAAGTGAATGTTTTAAATAAAATAAAATTTAAAAATAGAAAACATTAAATAGTAATGATATAAATTAATGGAATATTAAATATTAGTTAATTAAGATTAAAATGCCGTTTTATATATTTAAAATTATAAATTCAAACTTAAATACACATCCCATTCATATAAAATAACAAAGTGACTAGTTAAAAAAAAAAATAACGAAAAGAAAATAGTTTTTACGGTAAAAAAATTATTAAGAAATATGCATGTCTACGAAGAAGAATAATCATTTTATTCAATTTTTAATATTTTTAATTAAATATAAATATTTGAATATTGGTAAAAAAAATCTATATTTCGCATATTAACTTTCAATTATGTTATCTTGACAGATGATTATAAAAATTAAATAAACAATTTAATATATTTTATATTTATAATATAATATAATATTATTATTTTGTTAACATAAAACTCAAATATTTTAGAATAAAAAATATTTTATCATTTATATATTAATATATATGAAATTAAAAAAAATTAAAATATTAACTTAAAAAAAAATTGTTTAAGAAAAATCAATTAATAATTTTATATGATTATAAAAATATTTATCTTTGATTTTTCAATGACATATTCTTATTTTTTATGTCGTCTTCCGTGTATTTTTTGTTTCATTCAATTTTATTTCTTTAAAAATATTTATCTTTTGTTTCCTTTTTCTTACTAATAAACAGATTTAATTAGTCCCACTTAATTAATCACTTGAATGAAGTTAGTAATGAAAGATGGTTTTATATTGGAATGAAGACAAGTAGTAGAGTTTGTGTGTGAGGATTGAAGGATTGAACTGGTAGTGAGCTGATTCATCATTCTATTCTTTAACAGAGAACGGACTAAAAATTTGTAATTCATTATAATTATGACGGAAAAGCTTATTTCCTCCAACTTTTTTAGAGACTAAAAATGAAATGAATGAAAATGGTAGGGGGAGTAAAATGAGATGGGGTGAGCCTGTTAAAAATGCATGTATGTCTAAAGAAGGAGCAACACAGAGGCATCCCATGGACCTTTGAAAACACTTTGCAATTTTTAAAGGAGGGATTTTGGGAGACATCAAGCCTTTCCACATGGATTATGGTGAGAGGGAAGGACAGCACATGACATGTTCATGAGCTGTGATTCACCATCCGTACCTTTCACATGCAACAGATCAGTCCAAAGGTTTTGACCTTACTTACACCCTTCTTTTCATCTTTCATCCAAACACGTCTCTTCCTTCTTTCTTCGTTCATCCCTATTTTTAAGACCATTTGCTATACCAGTATCAGATCGCGAAAGAAACAAGAGAGGAAAATGACAAGATCTGTGAAGAATTTAATGATAGGTGCATGAACTTCTGAAATTGTCAAGGTTTTAATAATTACTTCGTTCTTACGTAAATGTAAGATATTTGTTTTGAAAATAATTTTTTATATATTAAAATTTAATACGACTGATGTTTATTGTTTTTAGTAAATAAAAAAGTTTGGTTAATGGCGGCAATATTTTTTAAAAAAGAAAATTGGAAAAAGCATGTTGAAAGGAGAGTTGGCGTATCTTGTCTATCTACTATTTTGTTGTCGGCTCCATTCATGTTTAATATCTATTCATTGTACTGCCTTTATTTCTAATGAAAAAAAAGGAAAGAGAATTTTATTAACTCTATCTTCGTTTTCATTGTCACAAAAGTTTTAAGAGTGATTGGTTATCATATACACATCAAATAAATTTTGTGCAATAAAGGATTGTACTTGGTATATACAATTTTCTTTTATTATATTAAAAATAATTGTTAAAATTAATTAATTTCTACTTTAGATAGTATGACTTTATTATAGGTTGAGAAAATAATTATTCCTATAAAAATAACAGTGTGTTAGAATGAGAGGTTCACTCTCGTATTTATAATGTTCACGTAGTTTCTTTTCATTAATTTTTATGTCAGAAAGTATTATTTGTTTTAGAATTTAAATTAAGATGATTTTATTTTAAAATAATATATCGATAAATTAAAAATATTAAAATTATTTTTAATTTCGATTTTAAATATAAAATTTATAAATTTACAGAATAATAATTAATAATTTTTTTAATCTGTTATTATTATAATTATATTGTATTAAATAACTTATATTGTGTTAATCAATTGATAATAAAGTTTGTAAGATTCTTTTAAATGAAATAATAAGTAAAAGGGTGATGATTAAATAGTTGGGTGTATAATTAATATTTTTTAAAATAAAATAAATTTACTCTTTAAAAAACATTAAGTATTAAAATTTACAAAGAAAAGTTTCATAGGTTATTCCAGTAATGATTGAAGGAAGAGCCACCATTTTTTTTTTCACTTTTTGCAATACATGGATTGGAAAAGTCATCATATCATACACATTTGCTTCCACTTGAGCATAAAATATCTTCTCACCGATTTACAAGGGGAACCATATCAAATATAAACTGTTTTATTTTTTAAAATTTTTAATCAAATGGTTCAAGTTTTTTATTTTTTACTTTACTTGTATTATCTTCAAATACTTTGTTTAGTGGTATTTTCAAACGATAATACACTTGTACACTTTGAGAAACACTTGGAGATGAACGATTAGTAAAAGAACTTAAATATTTGATCTTATGATTTTGTGATATGATGCCAAAAAAGTTTAGATGGCCACAAGAGAATATCACTCTGCCCCAAGTCCTTTTGCTATCTTTTCAGTCCAATAATTATGGTTCTGCTCAACCTATAAAAGTTAATGGGTCCACTCTCACTTTTTAATTTCAACAAAGTTCATAGGTCACATATATGGTGTGTTTGTGTGTACCCAGTTTTTTGTATTTTTTTTTTAATTTCAATAAAATGAAGAGTAAATAACTTGTGATAAATATGAGAGGGGTGCTCTAAACTATCAACTATAGTTAATTTATCAGTTAAGATTGATTGAAATACTTGATCTGTACAAGTTTTCAATGATGTGAAATATTAGGAACACATCACACATTCAATTGTTAATTGAAAATCCAATCACTCTTCTAAGGTTTTTTTTTTTAATCTACTAGCAACTAAAACAATTTATAGAATCATGTGCATATTTGGTTGGTATCATAGCTTTAACCCATTCCCTCACCCCCACCATATATGAAATGTTGGGTTAATAATAATACACACATACTCATGAAATGCATAGATTAGGTGGGGCTAATAATAGGCACATGTTGAAACATAGGTTATAGATGAAATTAATGTTTTATTTTATTAAAGTTGGTAATTTTTAAATTGGTCATATTTCAGGTTTGATTTGATTTGATTTTATATTGAGATAATAAGTTAATGAGTATTTTTTAAATAAAATAAAAAATAATCAGGTTCAGATTTCCAATCTTTTAGGGTAGGTGTGAATGTTTTAATTTGTAAATTATGATTCAAAATATTTCATTTGTTTATATTTGAAGAATTGAACTTTAACTAAATTGTTTAAAGTAAGGGAATGCGGAAAGAAGCCCAATATTAGACCCAAACATAAGAGACCCAATTTGAGCATATCTATCTGGATGAAATAAAGCCTTGTGTTGGGCTTAACCTCCTACACCTCTAAAATAGTTTTGTCACCACCTATTCATTCTATAGATGAATTTCTGGAAAATATTTTCCAAATGAATAGGAGATGGTGCAAGAATTTTATGAGTAAAGAGAAAAACACATTCTTCTATTTTATTGGACATTGTAAGTCAGCAACACATATGAATTACTTTATATGTCTCATCCATAATAGGTCATTTTATTTAACTTAAATAAATATTTTTGAAATAAATAAATTTTAAATAATAGTTTATATTAGAAATTATAGAGTTTTTTTTTAAAGAAACAAATTATTTTTAATATAACTAGTTAGACAAACACATAAAAAAAATAAAATTGAGCTTATTTGATTAAAAAAATTATTTTTTTGTTTTGTATGGCCAAATCTTTTGTAATTTGCATGATGCTAATGATACCATCTTTTTGCTATTCACACCATCACTTTTTGTTTAGACTAAATTTTAATATATTATGGAAATCATCTTGCAAGACTCTTTACCATCCACTCTGAGTGTTGTTAGCTAAGAAACTTGAGCTCCTATTTGATATTTTTTTATGTTAGATTTTTGAGTTGCAGAACCTTTTCTTTATTTCTTATGTGTTTTCAAGAATCCGACGTAGTTTTAATTATTCAGACAAAATAATATAAAAATTATATTATAAAAATATGAAGATTTTTTAAGTATAATTAAAAAAAAACAATTCAATTTCCTTTTCTGTGTCTTTATACATGAAAAAAATGAATTAAAAAATATATATATACAAGTTAGAGGAGAATGAATACTTTCTCTGTGAATGATAGGAGGTACGATAATTGTGACATGTTTTTACATTTCAAAATTAGACTAATTACTCTTAGGGTTGCAAAAATGTTAAAAAATGGATATACAACCATTTTCCAAAATATATTATTATGAATGAACAGATAACAAAGTTTGCCATTTTGAAACCATTTTTATTTGAAGTTTGATTAACGTCTCACATAAATATGGGGTAATAAATATTCATGTGTTAATGGTCCAATTAATTTATAAATTTTGTTGATTATATTGGTTGATACGTGTTTTTAGTTTATTTTTGTTTTGGTAAGTCTTACATAAGTAAAAGTTTGTTTTTTTCTAAGTAGATTTTTATTCTTTTAAGTTTGCATGAAATAAAGTGTTTCATTTGTTTTATGTACCGCGTCTCATACATTTCAATCAATGATGACGTGTTTGAGTTAAAATGAAAGTGATGTTTTCAACTTTTTATGCAATGTACCATGCAATATGATATTAGTGTGGGTTCATCGCGTTATGCTTCTACATAATAATATATAATCTCCATCTTTTTTTTTAAAGTATTTTTTTTCTTGTAATTTTTGTGACTCTTATTCTTCAAAATCCTGAAAATCCATATTACCTACATTTGAGTGAAAATCCTGAAATCGTGTTTGTTAGTCCTACACAATATTGAAGCAATTATCATTCTTGGAGTCATGTAATGATGAAGCATGCACTTCTCAAAAAAACAAATTAAAATTCGTTGATGGAACCATCGTTATGTTTGCAAAGAGTAATGCGTTGTATGATGTTTGGGAAATATGTAACGTGAGTGGCAGATCTTCTTGGGAGTTGAGGGGGCCGTGACCCTCCAAAGTTTTGTAACTCCCATGAAATTTATGATTTTGACCCCCCAAACTTAATGAACATTTAATATATTTAATTGTATATTTACAATTTTATCCTCCCAGCCCCTCCTCAGTTTTGTAACTCTCATATAATTTATAATTTTGTCCCCCTCAAACTTAATGATCATTTAATATATTTAAGTATATATTTACAATTTTATCCTTTCACCCTTTTATCTTCTTATTTCATTTTATATTTATTTATTATTTATTAATAATATATTAGTTGGCCCCTCCAAGATCAATGGTTAAGATCCGCCGCTGTGTAACGTTATAATTATATCTTAGATTACTCATGTCATATTCGATCACATTACTCAGTGTGTTGTTTACATTGATTACACTAAATATTTTTGGGATGATCTTAAAGAGAGATTCGCCAAAGAAGATAACTTTAGAATATCGGATTTGCTTCAAGAAATGCACTCAATGAAGCAGGGAAAAAATGAATGTTTCAGAATTTTTCACTAATCTAAAGACTTATTGGGAAGAGTTGGAAGTCTTATGTCCCACACCCACTTGCGTTTGTGATATCAGGTGCACCGGTAGCATGTTAAAGAATGTAATAAAGTATAAGGACTTTGAACATGTTGTTTGTTTCTTGAAAGGGTTGAATGAAGCCCATAATACTATAACAACTCATATTTTGCTCATGGAACCTTTACAAAGAATTAACTGCGTTTTTTCTCTCATGCTATAACAAGAAAGACAATTGATAAGTGGTATTTGGTTGACAATAAATCTATTATCAATTCCACTCATACTCAAAGAAATTGGAAATCTTAGGGAAAGATTAATTCGAACAACTGGACAATCAAACAAAAGGAAGAAGATGAAATCCTCAATTTGGAAAGTAGTGTAGTTACTGTAACAAAATGAATCATACCATCGAGCAATGTTATTCAAAACATGGTTTTCCACCTTGGTATAAGCATAAGAATGAACAACATTCTTCGAATAATCTTTGCTCTAATAATATTTTTTAGAGCAGTGAAAATAAGATGGAGGAAGGGTCACAAGCTAATCAACAAATAACATAATTAACCAATGTGTAGTTCACTTAAGATAAGATGCAACAACTCTTCAAGATTATGCAAGAACAAACAAATAAGTCCACACATAGCTAATAATCTCATAATTGAGTCCACAATTATTTCTTATGACAAAGGTAAGAATCTAAACTAGATTCATGATAATGGGCTAATATCACATCACATATACCACTTTTCATTTCACTAAAACCTATTTTAGTTCACTTATCCAATGGATCATAAGTTACTACTCATTATTCTAGAAATGTTCATTTCTTTGAGCATCTTTATATTTGTAATGTTCTTTATATTAATAGAATTCACTTTCAATTTGATCTTTGTGCAACACATGGTAGTGTTTTAGATTGTAAACTAATCTTCTTACGTGAGATTTGTTAAATACATGATGACATTTCTCAGAAGATGATTGGGAAAGTTAAATTGCACAATGACCTTTATTACTTGTAAGAAAACAAACATAAGTGCCTTGTTAATTATAATAATAATGTTCACTGTGATTTAGACCTTTGGCTTCATAAACTTGGGCACCCTTCAAACAAAGTTCTTGATCGCATCTCCAATATGTTTTCTTACATATGATTTAATAAAAGTTTTGTTTGTGATTCTTATCATCTAGCCCAACAACACATACTCCCTTTTACTCAAAGTAATAATAAAGCCACTCATATCTTTGATTTAATCCATGTTGATATATGGGACCCTATTGTATTTCTTTCACGTAAGAATATCTAGGGGCCCTATATCATTGATGATTTCAGTAGATATATTTGGATTTTTTTTACTGTAACATAAATCTGAAACCAAAAATGCCCAGCATAATTTTATTATCTTGGTTAATTCTAATCTTCCTACTTGTTTTTGGTCTTTTGTTTTATCTCATGAGATTTACTTAATAAATAGGTTTCAATCTCCCTACGAAAATTTTTCATGATCAATTACCTAATCTTAGGAATTTAAGAATTTTTTGGTCTTTATGTTTTATTTTTACCCTTCAAATAAAAGGGTATATGATTATTAACATTAACAGTTGAGAAATCT